TGCACCCTTCACCAGAAGGAGAAAAGAATATAAAGAGAAAATATTATTGAATTTTATGGGCATGAAAACATGGGTACTGAAATTTCCTCTCTGAGCTTCATCAGTGGATTTGCTGAATACTTTCCTGTGACTATTATGGGGGATGAAAAAATGGAAAGATGGACTAGGAATGATATTTGAGAAAGGAGAAGCACCCTATACCTCAATATGGTCAGAGTTTGTAAGTTTCTCTCACCCAAATGGGTGGTTAGGAAAGTAACAGGCCTGATCTATGCACCAAGGTCCTAGTAAAAGTGTGTCTAGTAGGTTAAAGATCCTAGAATCAAGGTACTAGTAGACACTATATATTAACGGTGCGTCAACAGAGCTCAAAATTTGTATGTCAAATTATTGTGCTGTGAAGATTATCTGTTGCAAGATTTCCTAAAAATCTTACACATTTACTTGGCAAAACAGCCATCAAGGATCTTTAACACAGTTGGGTTGTGGCCTGAATATTGCGAGTTTAATTAGATTTTATTTAGAAAAATGAGAATAACCTGGAGATTAAGAGGCGAAATTACTGATTTGTCACCCACAAGACAAACGCAACTATGAATCAGGCAGAACCACTTTCTGCTCAATTTCTGGAGATCTATATTTTACCATTCCCAGCTGTTTTTCCTTTTGTGAAAATATTGTTTCCTAGTTTTAAAATGTAAACTACAAACTTCCAATCCAATAAGACTTATCTCTTTGAGAGATACAACCCTCAACAATGGCCATACCTCCAAATCACTACTCTAGTTCCCTGCATTTCTTGGGCAGTCCGGGGACTGAAATGTCTCCTCGATCAAGGCTAGAAAGGAGGGCACTGCAGCCAGATGTTGGTGCTCAGAGACATTTGTTCTATAAGGAAAGCTCAGGTGTCACAGGAAACTCTGAGCCTTGGGGAGGTCTGGACAGAAGCTTGGCACCAAATTCTGTGTCACTTTACTTTGTGAGAGAAAGGGGGCAGATACTAAGATTTTGTAAGAGAAAGCACCTCAGGAGTACCACGGCTGTCCACATGATCTTCTTTAAGTTACTTGTGAACTAGGGTTTTATGCCCTTTCATGCTATTTAAATTCCTTTTTCCTTTTATTCTTAAAGATTACACTCTTCTGAGGGACATAGAGAATCATCCGTGAATGAGTTTCAGCCCTGGTGAGGCAGCTCACAGATAGTGGGGCAGACAGACCGGTGGGCCATCACTAAGGTGATGAGTGCTGTGATAGGCATGGGGAATGAGGAGTTGGGTTTAGGCAAGTGCTCTGGGTGTCAATCCTCTGTTGCCTGGTGTATTTGAGTATTATCATTAGTATCACTGGAGTGACTTAGATGAAGTCAGGCCTGTAGGGACCGACAATGTGTTTGCAACAGGAATTGAGGGATGAAGAGCCTAATGAGCACACAGTTCAGGTGAGACCACTGAAAAACAGAGGAGTCCCCACAAAGAAGAAGGTGAGCAAGTGCTACTTGAAGAAAGGATGTCACTAACAGAGAAGACCAGAATAAATTGTTCATTTAAAGCATAGACAATAGGTTAGATATTCCTGCTTTCCCCCTATCCCCTTGGGTTTGTAGGTAATAGCTAAGTAGAAGAATAAGTGCGGGGGACGGGGAAGGGAGACAATTCTATAAAGCATAAAAGCACATGTATTGTGAAAGTTGACATCATAGATGAAAATAAAAAATAAAACTTCATCTAATCACAAATGTGTCAGGATTCTTCCGTCTGTGAATTTCTGAGGTTCAATAGTTCAGAGGAGATGATTCTTCTAGGCAGGAATAGGAAATTTTTTTAAATTGATTCACCGTGAGGTACAGTAACAAAACTTTCATGTTTGAACTTTGATCATACAGTCATCAAACACCCATCCCTTCACCAGTGCACGTTTTCCACCACCAAAATCCCCAGTATCGCCCCTCCCCCATTCCACACCTCCCCCTGCCCGTGTCGTAGACAATTTGCACAATACTCTCTTTCTCTACTTTAGTTACCTTTGATATTTCGAGACCAGACCCACCACCACTCATACCTGCCGAAAAGGCAATGCTAGACAGTGTGTTTTGTATTGTTTGTTATGGATACGATATAATGTCATGCAGCCGCTCTTGCAGCCGCATGCTCTAGGAATTCTAAAATTTTAATAATTAGGGTCTGAAGAGATCACTGCAGAAAGTTGCTCGGGTCCGAGATTTGTTCGTGTGTCTCTGGATCATGGCCATGTGGGAACTTGAGTAAACAGTAGCCAGATGTGGCATCATCTCAGAGTCTCATCCAGGCAGGGAGGAGGAGAAGGGCCCACTCCTCCCCTGTTCCACAGGCCTGGCATTTGCCACCACCACTACTCGTATCTGGTACTTGTCACTGACTTCTAGAAAATGGTGGCCACCAGGGCTCCGAGAGGGTAGGCGGAGGGGACAGCACCTGCCCCTGTCTGGAGCAACCCAGTGGAAAACGCCGGGAAATTTTTTTTATAAAAGATAAATTATCTTTGTTGAGGATAACGATAGATGGATGTGTCACTTTACAAAATTGGAATTATTCAGTTGATGTAAGTAATATCCGTTAAAATTACACTTAATCCTATTTATGAATTCTCCTATTTGGTTATATTACAAAAGATGAAATATGGGTCTTGGAATACAGTTCAATGGTAAAACACATGCCTTACAAATGTGAGGCCTTCTCTTTGATCTGCTACCTCTCACACAACACATTAACTGAATTATTATTATTATTACTATTGGTTTTGAGGCCAGACTCAGTTGTACTCAGGGCTGTTTCCTAGCTCTGTGGTAAAGGATCACTCCTTGCAAGGCTCATGGAATCAGAAGGGATGTCAGGGATCAAACCAAGTTGCCATGTGCAAGGCAAGCACCCTACCTTGAATTATTTTTTTCCATAAAAATTGTATTATATTTCATGCAATGTGGTTGCAGTAGTATTTATTTTCATGGTTTTGATGTACAAAGTTACTACAACTTCCCACTACCATTTTGCTCAAGACCTTCCACATTGTCCCTTTGTTACTTTTAATTGACTCTCCTCATGCTTAAAGGATCTTAACCTTCCAAAAAATTCAGAAGCAGAAGGTGGAAAGTTTAATCGGGAATACTTGTATGGATTTGTATATATCAAATAATAGAAGAATTTCAAATGGCCAATCGCACATAGAAAATGAATCTGAATTTGTTGAGGAGAGTCATATATTAAAAGAAATATGTTGGTAGTTTCTCCAAATGCAAGATTTAAAATACAGTTAATGCTACTGAAAGTCAGCTAATACCTGTGGAATTATGCCTGTGCAATGTCCATAACCAATTCTTCCCAAACAATTTTTATATATAAATTTCTTTGTAGATTTTAATTTGTTTTTACATAGGTCTCTTAGATTAATATTTTCCCAACAAATTAGCCATCAGAAATATTTTCTTGCAACTCTCTATGCCATTACTCCACCCTCACACCATTTCCAATACTATAAGTATGAATTCTGAAAGAACGTAGTTTATTTTCTGCATTTCTGAAAATTTCAATGTTACAGTGCATTGCTACTTAATTGCCTGTGATAAAATTGCATATGTACATAAAAATATTTAAATTTTTAATCGGTAAGGGATATTTCCTTTTGGTTCTCTAACTTGTGGCATATGAAATTTATTCAGATTAACAATTTACCATGTAAAGTGGCCATTAAATATTAGCTTTCTCTTCGTTTTATGTGTGCTTCTAAAATTATTTCTGTTATAAAGATGTAAGTAAATGTCTCTTAAGAGCTTTTAAATGATTCTTTCCAGAACTATATTTTCAGTGATCTTTTGGTATTATAATTTTTAGGAACTCAAGATTGAATGAGCTCATAAGTACCCAGGGGTTCCTAGCACATGACAAGCACTAATAAACTTGGATGTTACAATAAATGTCCATTTACACTCACACACTACTCTTGTTTCTTTTTCCCGTTCTTCTTTTCTTGTCCTCAGATCCATACTCTAGATAGAACATGTGTCCCAAACTCCCAGCTCCAACTCTCCTTCAAACCTATAACTTAAGCATTAGTTGATTCTGTCTTGTCTTCACTCCATCTCCGGTCCCCTTTGTTGACTGATTGACTTGTCCATGCTTCCTGATGTTTCTCTGCCTTTCCTTTTTCTTATCATCTCCTCTGAGGATGTTCCACCTTGGCACTCTTGGTCTGTAATGCTGGTGCTGCGGGTGCTTGGTGCCTCCCCAGTGGCTCCCTTGGCTTCACCCACTAGGTACACATGGGACCTAGACACCACCCCAGGCCCTGTGGACAGAAGCTCCTTTCAGGGACACATCTCGAGTTCGGAGTCTCCATTCTGCCCACTTTTGTTTTGTTTCCATGACATAGTCTCTGTTTCTTAATGTGGATGTCAGGAACAGGTCCTCAACAGCCAGAAACAGTTCCTCAGCAGCCAACAGGAAATCCTGATGGAGTCTGGGAGGCCATGCAAACACCCACCCACATTTCACATCTGTCTCGGTGACTCCATTTTCCAGAAGGCTTCCCCAAATGGTTGCATCGCCTGGGGCTCCTTGGAGACAGACCACCTGGGAAGGTCGTTCCTTTACCTCATGGTATGACCCTCTCCTCCTGTGCCCCACTGTCCCACATGTAGGGCACAAAGACCCAGTAACCTCTGTGACCCAGTGACACACGCATCCATCCCTGGGGAGGGGCGAAGTGAAAACATGAGAGTCACCCATAGTGGAGAGTAAGAGAAGCTTTATTCATCACTGGGTCTGAGAGGGGTGCTGGCCCTCCTTGCTGTGGGAGAGGGGGGCTGTGGGCCTGGGCTTGAGAGAGAAGAAGCCTCCAGGGGACAGGGCCTGGGCAGGGGCAGCCCAGCAGGGCCTGGGAGAGGCGACACTGTGTCCTGGAAAGGCTGCACCAGGCAGGGCTTGTCCTGGCCCTTGGGTTCTCTCTCCTTTCTCAGCATCGAGCTGGTCAGCAGCAGCCCCCAGAGCCCTGGCCACAGCCAGAGCCCCCAGACAGCTGGCCACCGGCTCTGTCACAGGAGCCAGAGCTGCGGCGCCGGCACCCGTGGGACCTGCGGCGCCTGTTGGGGCTCAGGCAGCAGCCGGCCTCGGAGCTGGGCCCGTGGCAGCCCCCGGAGCTCAGAGCACAGCCAGAGGGGGCGGGAGGGGAGCACTGTGCTGGGCTCTTTGGGGGGCACTTGGGCGAGGGGCACTTGGCAGGTGGCTGGCTCTGCTGCTGGCTCTGCTGGCAGGACATCTTGTGGGAGCTGATGATTCTGGGGAAGAGAAACAAAGTGTCAGTTGAGGAACCACAATCTAATGTGTCTTCGCTTCCAATGTCAACCTCTTCCTGAGTCCTGAGCTGCGGAAAAGCTGAAAGTGATGGGGAAGTTATTGGCTCGTGTAAGATGCTTCCCACTTAGCCTTTTACCAGGGATCCTGAGCTGCCATTTAAACTGGGCCTCCAGGTTTTGTGTTTCAAAGTAGCACAAAAATCATTTGGTTCAATCATTTGGCAGAAACATCTAGTTGGTTCATGGAATCATCAGAAACGCATATGCCATGAAGAGAAAGACACAGCCAGTTCCTATGGTCTTTCCATCAACAAAGTCCTGGCATGGCCTCTAAGCTCTTGTCCTGGTCCTCTCCCCTCTGTGGCCTCCTGCCACCTCCATCTCGCGTTTCACCCCAGACCCTCTTGTTTCCTCTACTTTCCTGTGTCCTTAGAGTTCTCCTGCACCTGTAGCAGCATCACTTCTCAGGGAGGAAAGAGTCCTTTCCTGCCAGGTACTCACCCGGAGTAGAGGAGGCAGAGGCTGTTCCTGAGGAGGCTGTGGTGTGCAGTTGAGGGAAGGAGCCCTTTTATCCTCCCTCAGTTATGATGCAGAGCCTGGTCATGCTGTGCTTTCACAGAGAGGCTGATAGCCTGGCACTCCCAGGATGAGCCTTCAGACCTTTTTCCTTGGCACTTGCATAATGCCCCACCAAAGAGGTTGAACCAGAGAGCATGATGACTGTCCCCATACTTCCTCATGGGACTACGGGACATGATCCTCCACCTACTTCCTTCCTTCCTTCCTTCCTTCCTTCCTTCCTTCCTTCCTTCCTTCCTTCCCTCCCTCCCTCCCTCCCTCCCTCCCTCCCTCCCTCCCTCCCTCCCTCCCTCCTTCCTTCCTTCCTTCCTTCCTTCCTTCCTTCCTTCCTTCTTCTGGCTCACATGCTTCATGCAGATTCTCTTCATAATCCTTTCCTGGAGACAGGTATGGTTAGAAACAATTTCATTCTTAGATTCATGACTGTCATAACAAACACAGACACATGAATGGATCTTAAAAACAAATTCCAGGTGATGAATGTAATCAAATGCGTAGAGTGTCCTCAGGCACCTCAGTGACCAGGGTCCTCAGAGAGAATCCATTCCTTCCTCCTGGATTCCTGGACATGAATTGTGTAGGAGACTAGTCCCAGACTTCTGCTTGATGGTAGTGGCCTCAGATCTCCTTATGAGCTCCTCAGAGCAGCTTGGAGTTGGGGACGTGCAATGAGCAGGGACAAGTTAGATTTTGATGGATGATTAAATTAAGTGGAGATCATTGAAAAGTCTTAGTTAATTTTTCATTTGATTGTTCTAAGCTCAGAACTACTTGCATATTTTAATTCTTATACTGTAGTGTCATCATAAAGTATAACATACATTTGACGATCCCGTGTACAATTAAAATAGTTTTTTACTTAAATGTTGTATTATGTATTAATATTTCTTACAGGGAAAGATATTTTTGACCTATTAAAAGGTAAAAAGGTAAAGGCCCTCCCGTTGATCGTCGATTTGCTCGAGCGGGCCCAGTAACGTCTCCATTGGAGACTTTGTTGTTACTGTGTCTGGCATATCGAATACGTCACGGGGAGCTTGCCAGGCTCTGCCATGCGGGCGAGATACTCTCGGTAGCTTGTCGGGCTCTCCGAGAGGGGCAGAGGAATCGAACTCGGGTCGGCCATGTTGGCTGCGTGCAAGGCAAACGCCCTACCGCTGTGCTATCGCTATTATTATGTGCAATTGATATATATCTTAAGGGAATGTTTGGACCAACACCTACAATGCTCAGTTGCTGTTTCAGGCTCTGTGCTCAAGAGTAACCACTGGTGATGCTTGGGGGAAACCATATGTGGAAATGGGGTTTTGAACCAGTTTCAGAGGGTTGCAAGGTAAATGTCTTAACTCATGTATTATTTTCTGGCTCAATATAAGATATAATGAATGAAGCTTTTTTTTTTTTTTGCTTTTGGGAAGACTCTTTTTTTAGTGAAACACCATGAGGTACAGTTGTACACTAACATTCTTTTTTTATTAGTGAGACATCATGAGGTACAGTTGTAGACTTACAAATTTTGTGCTTGGGTTTCAATTATACAATGATCAAATACCCATCCCTCCACCAGAAGCAATTTTAAATGGAAAATTAATTTTATTATTTAAGACAACTTAAGCCTATAAGAGTGACCAGGAAGAAGCAGTAGTACAGAAGGTAGGGAGTTTGCCTTGCACACAGCATATTTGAATTCAATATATGTCTCCTTCGTTATCTCCTGAGGGCTGGAGTGATAGCACAGCGGTAGGGCATTCGCCTTACAAGCGGCCAACATGGCCGACCCGAGTTCGATTCCTCCGACCCTCTCGGAGAGCCCGGCAAGCTACCGAGAGTATTCGATATGCCAAACACAGTAACAACAAAGTCTCCAATGGAGACGTTACTGGGCCCGCTCGAGCAAATCGACGATCAACGGGAGGGCCTTTACCTTTACCTTTACCTATATGTCTCCTTGAGCACTTCCAGGAGAGATCCCGGAACACAGAACTAGCAATTGTTTTGAGTTGTTTTCTAAGTCACATCTTAATTGATTTCTGATACAAGTTTTATTGTTTTCTTCCTTCTGCTTGATTTGGGTTCAATTTATCAGCTTTTTTCTAGCTACTTAAGTTGTACTATTATTTATTTGGGCCCTGTTTTACTTCTTCATGCTTGCATTGCTATGAACATCTCTCTTATCACCACTTTTCTTGTGTCCTACATATTCTGATAACTCATGTCTTCATTCTTGTTTTTTCTAGGAAACTTTGATTTCTTCTCCAATTTCATCTTTGACTCACTTGTTATTCAGCTGTAAGTTGTTTGCTTTCAAGTGTTTGAAATCCCCCCCACCCCCGTTTCTGTGTGTGATTCACTTCCATTTTCAAAGCACCATGGTCTGAGAGGATAATTGATATGATTTCTACCTTCTTGAGTTTATATTAATGTGCCTTATAGAGTTGTGGGGCTGGAGCGATAGCACAGGAGGTAGAGCATTTGCCTTGCACGCAGTTGACCTGGGTTCGATTCCTCCATCCCTTTCGGAGAGCCCGGCAAGCTACCAAGCGTATCCCACCCACATGGCAGAGCCTGACAAGCTCCCCGTGGCATATTCGATATGCCAAAAACAGTAACCACAAGTCTCACAATGGAGATGTTACTGGTGCCCGCTCGAGCAAATAGACTAACAATGGAGGACAGTGCTGTAGTGCTATAGAGATGTGATTTTATAAAGATGTGACCCAGAACCTGTCCTATCTTGGAGAATGACCCACGTACACTGGATTAAAATGTATACCCTACATTATTTTCATCCTTTTTGAGTATGACAGTAATATGTATGTCTGCTGGTCCCATATCTTTTGTTTCTTCCTTCATTGCCATCATTTTCTTGTTGAGTTTTTGCCTAGTTGATCTATGAAGTAGTGAGAGTGGTAGGCTAAAGTGTACGATTTTTCTTGTGTTACTGTCAGTCTCTTCCTTCAGGTCTATTAGCTGTTATATCATATATTTTGATAGTCCGTCATTAGGAACATATTTGCTTAGGAGTATAAGTTCTTTTTGATGTATAGATCCTTGATCATTAGGAAACGGTCAACCCTGCCCCTTTATGACCTTGAATAAAAGTTTTTTGAAGTCTATATTGTCAGATGGAAGTATGACATCCATCCTTAGAAGAGAATTGTTTGCCTGTAAGATTATTTTCCAGTATTTCACTTTGAGCCTGTGCTTACCCTGGCTGCTAGGATGTGTCTGGTGGAGGCAGCAGCAAATTTGTTTTATCTTTCTGTTCTATCCTGTCACTCTCTCTATCTTGATCGGTAAGCTCAGAACATCCATGTTGAGTGATATTATTGAAATAATGGAATTTGTTGCCATTATTTTTTACTGATTATATGTGTTTGTGAAGCTTATCTTGTTTCTTATAGAAGTCCCTTCAGTGCTCCTTGCAAAACTGGTTTCATGGCTATGTAGTTCCTAAACTGTTGCAAATCCATGAAACTTGTATAATTCTTTCAAATCTGAATGAGAATAAAGCTGTGTAAAGTATTCTTGGTGAGGTATTTGATTAATTGATTTTTTAAAGCAATAACAACCCACCTCCATTTTCTTCTGATCCATAGGGACTCGTGTAATAGATCTGCTCTGAGTCTTATGAGCTTTTATTTTCATGCACGCTTCTTTTTTGATCTTCCTGCTTTCAATTCTGTCTCTTTGAAAAAGGTCTTTGACTTTTTCATTCGAATTATTATATGTCTTGGAGTAGTTTTATCTGAAATTACTTCGGTTGGTACTCTTTGGGCCTCTTGGATTGGAGTGGATGAAGTGCTTAATTCTTGAGAATTCTCCTTTATGATTTCTTTGACTAAGAATTCTTCATCAGATTCACTTTTTATATTCCTCAGGGACTTAGTGATTTGTATATTATTTCTCTTGAACTCATCTCTTAGTTTTCCAATGTGCATTCTTTTATTTTTTTAGATGTTTTCTCCTCTTTTGTTGTTTTTGGATGTCTCCTGCATTGCATCTTAGAATTCACCAATTTTCTTCTCAGCTTTTTATTCTCTGCTGCTGAGACCTTCCTTCGAGTATTTTTATTTCAGCTACCATTATCTTCCATTCTAATACTTCTGATAATAATTTTCTTAATTCTGCTCTCATACTTTTTTACACTTACACCATTGCTTCTTTGAACTCATTAACATCCTCATCATGTTGTCTCTAAAGTCATTGTCAGAGAGGTTGATGCTAGCAGAGCCTTCCAGACTGTCTTCTCCACTCACTAAATTTGGTGAACTTCTATGTGCTTGTGTCTGTTGTGATCTGGGGGAAAATCTTTGTAGCTTACCTGTGGGAGTTCTCTGAAAGATTTGTATGAATGTTGCTCTTTTCTTTCATAACCTCTCCCAGAAACTGATGTTTATGGTTGTGGTCTGAGGACTGAGTGGGAACTACAAGACTAATTTCCATATTGTCTTGACCTTACCTCTTTTCTAACTGAAAATTTGGTCTCTATGATTCCTTAATACTTTAATGCCTGATGGTATTTTTTAGGATGCATAGTTGAAGGAAGTTAGGAATGATTATTAACAAGAAGTTCCTGGAGGAAACCAGGAACTAAATCTGTGGGTTCTGGAGTTAAAAGTGGTTGTAGTGTGAGATGTGAGACAGTTGTCTTGAAGTTGTGCTGTACAGAAACCCCCGAGAGAGGATAGTGAGCTATACATGAAGATGGAGATCCCCCATGAATTCCCACAGGGCCTCTGGCTGGGAGATGGAACTGGAGGGATAAGTTTTTGCCTGAGAAGTGAAAACATGTAAGAACATTCTTTCTTATTTTTAAGTTGCATCAGGAATGCTTCTGGCATTTCAACAAAGAATGGTAAGGAGAGATCTGACATAACTCTATGGAGTCTCCATGTGGAGGAGGTAGTGAAATGAAAGCCTGGCCTTACATTGTAGGAGAAAGAGAACCAAACTAACAGAAAACAAGTGGGTCACAAACATAG